AGGAAGGAAAGAAGGAAGGAAGGAAGGAAGGAAGGAAGGAAGGAAGGAAGGAAGGAAGGAAGGAAGGAAGGAAGGAAGGAAGGAAGGAAGGAAGAAAGAAAGAAAGAAAGGAAGAGAAAGAAAGAAAGAAAAACAAATCAGTTCTATATGATTTCCAGTAGTTCAAATCTTTGGGCTTTTCAACTAACAAAGATAGAACTTGTTCATGTTTTGATTATATCTGAACTTTCAAAAAATTCTGAACCTTCCCCAAAATAAGTTTGGATCCATGCCTTATGCTATATTCAGAAGTGAACTCTAGATAGATTAAAGACCTACATGTAAAAAGTAAAAAGCTAATAAAATAAGATCTAGGAAGTTACCTTTACAGCCTATGAGTAAATAAAGACTTTTTTAACATGAAGTTAAATCTTCAAATCACAGTAGCAAAATGGATGGGTTTAACTTCATCAAAACAAAGAAATGTGGTTCAATGAAGGATACCCTAGAAAAAGTTAACAGACTAGAAAAGGTATCTGCAGCATCTAAAGCCAGAGATTAATATCTAGGCTACCCCTCAAAAAACAAAAACAAAAGTCTGCAAATCAAACAAGAAAATAATGCAATACCCAGCAGAAACATGGGCAAAGGATATGAAAAAATAAACCTCAGGGAAGGGCCAGAGTCTAACAAGTATATCAAGAAAAGTTCAACACCATTAGCAACAAAAATACTGAAAGTTTAAACATCGATAAAATTCCACATTGTCTATTAAAACTGCAAAAACAAGAACGCTAGATAATATCAAGCATTGGAGAGGATATGGGAATGACAGAAACTTAGATACTGTCGCGGGGAATTTAAACTAGTCCAGCAGTTCCGGAAAGCAATCCAACAGTACTGGAGAAATTAAGTGCAAGGATGTCCTATGACCCAGCTATCCACTTCTGGGTGTGTATATATATATTAGAAATACTCACATCCAAATCTTTTTGAGAACATATTCCTGGATGTTCTTGGCTATATTATTTGTGATGTGGAAGTTAGCAACAGTGCCCATCCGTGGAGGAAAGGATAAGTAAAATGTGGCGTAAATGTGCTATGAAAATACACGATTATCTAAAACAACCAACCGTACACAGAGCAACCCAGATCTAAAACATAAGTTGTTGAGCATTCATAGCACTAGTCCACTAATCAAAAACACATACCTACATAGCCCATGACGGTTTCCAAAGGATACACAGTAGACCTTGAGCGCCACCCGCCATGCACTCCCAGCAGCGCTGCTCTCCACACCCTGCCCTCTAGAGTAAAATCTTCGTATAACTTTCGGCTCCCCAGAAATTTAACTATTGTCACCTCTTGGCAATATCAGGAGGTTGGTTCCAGGATCACCCTCTCCCACAGACACCAAATCTGCAGATTCTCAAGTCTCTTATACAAAATGGCATAGATCAATGCATATAGTCAGCCCTCCACATCTGCAGATTCCCAACCAGGGATCAAAAATACCGTTTTCATTCCACAACTAGTTGAATCTGCGGATACGAAACCAAGGGATAAGGAAGGCTGACTATATATATTGGAGAAAATCCACGTAGAAGTGGAGCCACACAGTTCAAAACCCCTGCTGTTCAAGAGTCAGCTCTATAAATTTAATATATCATGGAGATTGCCTTTTGAAGGAGAGGAATGGATGAGAAATAGGGATTAAAGGGGAAAAAATAGAATAGGGGGTTGCCTGTACTGAAAATGCTGTACTAAAAACCAAGAAGCATAAGTAGCTCAATTCTGCCCCTGAGATTTAAACACACACACACACACACACACACACACACACACACACACACACACACTCTTCCCCGGCTCCCCCTGAATTTCTTTCAGCACGTTTTTCCAGCAAACCATATCTGCAGTGGGAACACTGAAGTAAAACAGTCTAATCTTTAAACCTTTTTTGTTTACACTGTCTCAATGGTTCACAGCCAGGGATATTTTTTGTCCTCCCACTCCATCCTCCAGGGACATTTGGTATTTGACAATGTCTGGAAACATTTTTTGGTTGTCACCATTTGGAAGAGGGGTGCGACTGGCATCTATTGGATAGGGACTGGGAGACTGCTAAACATACTACCATGAACAGATGGCCTCCCACAACAAGGAGCATCCCTTCCAAAATGTCAGTAGTGCTGAGGTTGAGAATCCTCACACAGTCTCACCAGGTTATCCATTTACTTCTTAAGTGTTTGAGAGGCTTCTTAGGCGTTAGGAGCTCTTTTCTTCTTTCCCATCCTACTCTTCCACTTACTCTTTTTCCATCTTCCTCTTCCATTCTTCTTTTATTTCTGCTCAGGCACAATCTACTGTCTATAATGCCTAGCTTCCTCCAGCAGTCATTATTCTACTTAAATATCACACTGATTTTAATTGCTCATATAAAAACTGCTGATGGGATAAACTGATAGGAAGACTTTAATAATTAAGGAAAAATCTCTAAAATGCTTCTCACTCCTTTTCCTTTTTTTCTTTTATGAGTTGCTCCTCTATATACCTATCTATTAAAATACGAGGGTCTCTTCTAAATTTTCAGGAATTTGGTGAAGGAGATAATTGTCCTGGAAGGCAACAGTTAAAAAGAACAAATTGAGCTGGTGAGTGGGGGTGGGGGCGGGGGCGTTGGAAGTAGATTGTGAGTTGGTAGCCATAGAGAGACAAGCTTGGGCCAAGGTGGGGGTGGGAAGGATTGAGCTTCAACATGTAGAAGTTCGGTGCTAGAGTTCTTCAGTGAAACAAGAGGGCAGGAAAGAGGAGAGGCTCTTTCTGTCTTTTAAACTGAACCCCAAAATTCTCTGAGCTACACTATGGGCCTAATGTGTACCAGGTGAGATTTCAAGTTTAAATAAAAGGAAAAGTTTGTAGATAATGGAGACTATTAAACATTAAAAGTGAATGTTATGGATATCCTGCTCTTATCGACTTCGTTATTTTTTAAAGAGGTTTAGGTACACAGTATTATAGACCAGTTTAAGCTAAGGAGCAACTTAAAGTTCTTAAGAGCAGTGGTTTATGTTTTCATGTATATTTCCTCAAGTTTTATCAATCGCCATTTGGTAACTCGTCCCTCGGGCTCACACATCCACTTGAGTGTCTGTGAGGTTAAATTATCTCCAATGGTCACCTTATTGGCTCTTCAGTATATCCTGTTTTTGTCGTATTTGTTGCTAATTGTGGCAATGTTTTCTTTTATGTTTTTCAAAAAACATAAAAGAAAAATTCGGAAAGTCTCTGGAGAGACATTATCCTCCCCATCTTATTCAGACCAAGC